GCAGTGTACAAACACCCTGGACAGGTCACCAGGGCTAATCACAAACAGATAATTGGCACTCACATTCATCTATCTACTGGCCTATCCCCACTGAAATCAATCAAATCTGACAAAATTTTCCACCTGCTCTATTCCAAATCAACTACTTTTTGGTTAAATAACTTTATCATAGCTAATAAAATCACGCAAAATATTATGTTTATACTATTAAAATTACAGTTACATGCCCTCAAATTATATCAAATTATATAGTTATTTTATAATATTTGTTAAATATTAAATGTGAGATTTATTTATTTACTGAAGGAACTAAAAACCTTTATAATGATGATTAAACCCCATACAGCACGTACAAAGGGTGGGGTTTGTACGTTAAACCTTGGCCCTTTGCTGATATGAGGAGCAATGTGCCCTGTTCTAATAGTCATGATGTCATGGAAATAGAAATTTCCACTTGGTCATCATGAGTGTATGAATTTTAATTGGTAACATAAAGTCACTATACATGGGAATATAATGGAAATATAATTTGAAGAGTCAATTGACAAACTAAATCATTATGGAGTTCTACAGTTGGTGTTTTCACAAACATGTCTCCCACAAGCTAACTTGTGGCACATATCCTAAACAGCCATAGCAAAAGCTTTTGTGATTGAAATGGAGGAATGATTAAACACCTTGTCATACAGCTAGTGATGTGTCAGTCGTGAACGAAACAGCTCTTAGTAGTGATGGGTCGTTCGCGAACGAAATGGCTCTTAGAGCCGACTCTTTGACGTGAACGACGCGAGCCGGCTCCTTATCGCGAGCCGTCACGTGGTTTTTTTTCTTTTTCTTTCACCCTCTCTCTCTCTCTCTCTCTCGCACTTTTTTTCCGCTTCACTCTGCACGCGAGCCTTGTGCTTTACGCTGGGCAGAGGGGGGAGGGGCGGTAGTTACACTCAGTAGCACAGGAACAGAGCCAGAGGGAGGGAGAGAGAGAAAGAGAGCCAGGGACAACAACGTCACATTAGAAAGGTATAGTAATCATCCACAACTATTTTCGGTTGCAGATGATAAAGGATTCGGAAAGTGCGGATTCATGCGGGCCCATATGACAGAGAATGTGCATCTTCTTTTTGTTTTCATATTATAATTTATATTTAATTGTGTTGTGTTTTGCAGTGTTTTGTGTTGTTTTCACTTTAAATTTGTAAAAGGAAACAGCTGAAAATTTAAATAGTTAAAAGTTGAAATGTGAATAGTTGATTTTTGTATTATATGATTTATTTATTACATTTTATGTGGAGTGAATAAATAAAAGTATATTTACGGTGGCTCCTAGAGACAACATACAAATCACGTACGAACTCTGAAGCATGTACAAACTCCAAAACACGTAAAAACTCCGAAGCACGTAAAAACTCCGAAGCACGTAAAAACTCAGAAGCACATAAAAACTCAAAACACGTACAAAAGACAACAGAAGTGCTCCAGGATGCTGGGCGCAGTGTTGAGCTTTTGTTA